TTTTTTTAAGATTTTGAGTTTTGTTCTATAATTTTATCCCATTCTATCTGGGACCATCTGTTGTGTCCCTGGTCAGAACAGTCGATAGCAGTATCTAGGCACCATCTAGTTCTTCTGGCCTCTGGATAGGTGAGGCCATAGTTCATGTAGGCAGTTGGTCCTATAGACTGGGTTCTTGTTTGAGTCTTTGGTTTCCTTCTTTCTCTTTTGCTCCAGATGAGTAGTAGAGACCAGTAGTTGTATGTTAGACGGTCACTCACAAGCTTTTAAGACCCAGATGCTAGTTACCAAACTAGGATGTAGAACATAAACTTTATAGACTACTTTGTTTGAATTGACCAAGATGTCCCATGAGACTATGGTTCAAAGCCTTCAAACCCAGTAAACCAATCCTATGAGGTGTTTGGTTAGGTCTAGGAGGTATCTGTAACTGTGCCCCCTGCTCCATAGGGTTTTCAGTGGCTGATTTTTCAGAAGTTGATTGTCAAGCTTTCTAACAATGTACTTATACTAAAAAATCATTTGTTTTTTATTTGAAATTCAGATTTCACTGGGTATCTTAGTTTTTTAGTGCTGTTGTAACAGAAATACCACAAGTAACAGGCTTTAAAGAGCAGAATTTATTTTCTCACAGTCCAAGAGGCTAGAAGTCTGAATTCAGGGCACTCACTCTAGGGGAGGCGTGCTCTCTGTCAGCTCTGGGGGAAAATTCTCGTCTCAGCTTCTGTAACCCTGGTGTTCCTTGGTTTCTTGGTGATCTCCATATGGCATCCCTCTTTCCTCCACTTGTGCTTGCTTCTCTCTCTTGCCTAATCTGCTCTTTTTATATCGCAAAGTGATTACATTTAGTACACACCCTACACTGATATGGCCTCATTAACATAATCAAGAAAACCCAGTTCCCAAACAGGATCATATCTACAAGTATAGGAGTTAGGATTTCAACACGTATTTTGGGGGGACACAATTCAATCCATAACGACCTCTTATCCGGCTCAGTTTCTTTATGAAGTTCATCAGTATTCATTCATTCATCCATCCCACAAACATTTCCTCTGTGCTTACTCTGTGCCCCACGCTGTTCCAGGCACTCGGGACACCAGTGAACAGAGATGGAAATCCATGCCCTTGTGGAGCTGATAGTCTGTTAAGGAGAAAATGATAAATACGAGAAGCAAATAAACTATGCCGTGTGTTGGATTACGAGGAGCGCCAGGAAGGAACAAGCAGCATAGTAGAGGAAAAAGGAAGGGTTGGGATTGGAGGTTGCGTGGTGTTTGCCCGGGTCTTTACCTGCGCTTGTCTGGGGAGCACATTCCAGGCGAGGGCACAGCACGTGCCAAGACCCGAGGGTGGAACTGTGCCCGGGGTGTTGGAAAACAATGGGGAGACCAGCGTGGCTGCGCCTATCCTGGTCGCCGCGTATGTCCTCAGCACTGCCCGGGGCCGGTACACTGAAAGCGCTCCATTAGTGCTCAGAGGAGGTTTGGGTCGGGCGCTGCCTGGGCCCACGTCCTAACCCCGCGCCCCCGCAGGGACCTGGGGCGCCGGTTCTCCGTGGAGCGCCTGCCTGCAGTCGTGGTGCTCAAGCCGGGCGGGGAGGTGCTCACGCGCGATGCTGCCGATGAGATCCGCCGCCTGGGCCCCGCTTGTTTCGCCAACTGGCAAGAGGCGGCCGAGTTGCTGGACCGCAGCTTTCTGCAACCCGAGGACTTGGACGACCAAGCGCCGCGCAGCTTGACAGATCCGCTGCGCCGCCGCAAGTACCGCGTGGACGCGGCGCCGCGGGGCGGCCCTGGGGGCGGGGCCGGGGGGCTGTTCTGAGCACCCGGGAAGAACCGACCGGGAGGAGGGGTCGGAGTCGCAACTGCGAACCCCTGGGAGTGGGCGGGACCGGAGGCTGTTCTGAGCCCCCGGAATGTCAGAGCTGGTGACTGTGATGAGATCCCCGCGGAGGGGCGGGGTTGGGGGGGGGGTCTGTTCTAAATAAAGGTCGCCGGACTCAGGTCGCAGCCAGTGACGGGGTGGAAGGGGGTATCGGTTTTGAACCGACTCCCAAGAGCGGACGGGGCCGGGGGAGTGTTCCGAATCCCTGAAGGTGGAGGGAGGGATGGGGGGGATGTGTAATGAAACCCCCTTCAGAGGGGCCCCTGGGGGGGAAGAGCTGGGTGGGAGAGGATCTGTAATGAGATACTCTATCTCTCTTCTAAGCCCACTCCCGTGGCAGCGGGGGGCGGGGGCGGGGGAGGCTAGGGGCTCCGCGGCGCGTCTTAACCCCTGGGCCAGGGCGGAGAAGCCTGGAGAGATTTTCAGGCTTCTCTGGAAATATTTGAGACCTTGAGGACGGGGGTAATTAATGGTTTCAAAGCCGTAAAATGTGACTATAAACGTGAAATTCAATCTCTGTGTCAGCGTCTTTGTTTGCGGAATTTAGTGTCTGATGAATTTGCACTGGATGCCGGGTTCAAATCCCAGCCCCCCACTCTCTCGCTGTGTGACTCAGGGCTGGTGACTTAAACTCTCTGTGCCTCAGTTTTGCGTTCCATAAAGTAGGATCATCCCAGATCCACCTCTTCCGGTTGTTTAGACGATTTAACCAGTGAATGCGTGCCGTGTGTTCAGGACAGTGTTCAGCACGTCATACCCAGCACGGAAAGGCTGGCTACTATCACTTAATAAAAAGTCCTTTTCCTTTAGAATAATTGGCCGTTTCAATTTTTCTCATTTCCCAAGAATTCCCAAGTACACTCCTCGAGTGTTGGAAAGGCTCACCAATCATATAGAAACGCACTACTCACGTATTTCATGAGCAAAATTACAAAAATCTTTTCCAAAACTATTTTGACAACACATTTATATTTAATATGGATTGTATTTTAATGTTTGGCCCCATTGTGTGTTGGAGCCCTGGTGTCGCAGTGATTGAGAGCTTGGCTGCTAACCAAAAGGTCAGAAGTTTGAATCCACCAGCCAGCCGCTCCTTGGAAACCCTATAGGGCGGTTCTACTCTGTCGGAATCGACTCGACGGCAATGGGTTTTTAGTTTTTGTGTGTGTGTGCTGAGGCACCTGACTGCCAGCGAGGACAGAGTCTCCCAGATGGGCGTCAATCTGGTATCCCAGGTTCCTGTCCCAAGAGTCCCTGTCAACCTGTCCAGGTGCGTCTCGGGTATCCCCGGGGGGAGGCGGCAAAATATAGAAATTAAAAGCTCTGGTCTAGAGCCACTTCCTGGCTGTATGACCCTCGGAGCCTCATTTCTCTCACCTGGAAATAGGAATGAGGTGGGGCTCAGTGGTTACAGTGCTCGGCTGCGAACCAATATGTCGGCGGTTGGAACCCATCAGCCGCTCCATGGGAGACAGATGTGGCAGTCCGCTTCCGTAAAGATTTACAGCGTTGGGAACCCAAGGAGGCAGTTCTACTCCGTCCTGTAGGGTCGCTATGAGTCAGAATCAACTCAAGACAGGAGGTTTTCGGTATTACCTTGCAAGTTAAGCCGAAAAGCCTACACTCACGAACCGCTTCGCTTTGCCTCTGCCACCTCCTGGCGGCGGAACGGGTCACCAGCAACCTTCAAAGAAAGACATTTAGAAACGTCTGAGCAAACTGCAGGACATACCTCCTATCAACATCATTACTATTATTTCGGCCATCACCCAGTGCCCAGCCTTCCTCTTCCGGGGCGGTGAGACCAGGGGAGTCCACTTCCTGCACCTGCCTGGCCCTGGAATATTATTCAGACATAAATTCAGCCATAAGTATTATTCAGCCATAAAAAGAAATGAAGCACTGATTCATACTATAACATGGACGTACCTCAAAAACATTATGGTCAGTGAAAGAAGCCAGACACAAAAAGACAAATATTGTCTGATACCACTTAGATGAAGTGTCCAGAATAGACAAATCCATGGAGACAGAAAGTAGATTCGTGACCCTCCTCCATAGTGACTGCTTATGGATTTCCTTGGGTGGGGGGAATGAGAATGTTCTGGAACTAGATAGAGGTGATGGCTGCACAGCATTGTGATACGCTAAATGTCCCTGAATAGTTCATTTTAAAATGGTGAAATTTATGTTATCTGAACTTTATCTTAATTGAAGGGGGGGGGGAGAGAAAGGAAGGAGGGAGGGAAGGTGAGTGGGAAGAAGGAAAGGAAGGCAGACAGACAGACAGGAAGGAAGGAAGAACTAAAGCCGAGCAGGGAAGGGCTGGGGTGCGGGTTGGGGAGGGGTGCCGGAGGGCCTCATCAGATGTCATTTACGCAAGGCTTGAAGGTGGGGCGCGCAGAGGGGAAATCCGCCAGTTGCCGGGTCGCTGGGATGACACCAACGGGGCCCTGGTGGCATAGTGGTTAACAGCTACGGCTGCTAACCAAAAGGTGGGCAGTTCGAATCCACCAGGCGCTCCTTGGAAACCCTGTGGAAGCAGCTACTCTGTCCTATAGGGTCGCTGTGAGTCGGAATCGAGTCGATGGCAACTGGTTTTTTTTCGGCGGGCGGGGGCTGACACCAAATAAAACAATGAATTTTTTAAAAATCCGTTCAAGTTAAAAAAGAAAGAAAAACAACGACCACCACAATGAAGTTGGCCCTTCCACGGCGGCGGCGGCTGCCGGCGCACCTGTAGCGCTTGGGGCGCTGCGGGGCGGGGCTTAGACCCTCAGCCTCCTCAGGTCCCGGAGGCCGGGAGAGGGCGCCCGTGGCGGGCTCGGGGCCCGGAGGCAGAAGACACTTTGTCCCAAGTTTTCTCCGAGCTTCCGTGTCCCCGCCGTGCCCCAGAGCCCCGTCAGAGCACTGAATCTTGGGACGCCTTCCTTGCGCGCGACACGAGGACGCCTCAAACCTCCGGACACCCCCCCCCCACCTGCTCCCTTCGGAACCCTCTCGGGGAACCTCGGATACCCCTAACTCTTCTGCCTCCTTTTTGCGTTCTCGACTGCCTCCTCAAACCCTCGGACTTCCCCCTGCACCCCCTGGAGTCCCGGCCCCCGGCCCCCATGGCCCGGTCGTACGGCGGCCGGGTGCTGGCCGCAATGACCTTGCTGGGCATCCCGGCGGCGGTGCTGGCTGCCCTGGGTGCGCAGCTGCTGTTCCAGCTTCAGGCGGGCCGCGCCGAGCTGCGAGGACCCCGCGCTGAAGGCCTGGCCCCGGGGCTGGGCGTCGGACCCGGACTGCCCGAGGACGCGGCCGGGGCGCTGCTGCCGCTGGCCGCCGCGCTGGCCGCGCTTGCCCTCGTGCTGGCCCTCACCTGCCTGCTGCTCGCCGCGCTCTGCGGCCACCTGGGCGCCGAGATGGCGCGGGGGCCTGGCCCCGGCAGGTAGGAGCTATTGGCGCACAGCCCGGAGGGGAGGCTGGCTGGATGTTGGGGAGCCGCTGGCCCTCTGGGGCCTCAGATGGGGAAAAAACCCTCCACTTTCCCTCCCTCCCTCTTTCTTTCCTTCCCTCTACTCACTCCCTCCATTCTTTCATTCCTTCCTTCCTCCCTCTCTCCCTCCTTCCTTCACTCCCTCCTTCTAACCATCCATCCCTCCCTCCTTCTCTCCCTCCCTGCCTTCTTCCTCGATCCTTCCTTCTCTCTCTCCCTCCCTCTGACTATCCCATCCATCCACTTCTCCATCCACCCATCCATCCACTCATCCCTCTTTCATTCCCTCCCTCCCTCTCTTTACCCACCTACCCACCTTTCCAGTCATGAATCTATCCATCCATCCCTCCTTCATTCCCTCCCTCCCTCTCCACCCCCCACCCATCCATGCACTCATCCCTCCTTCATTCCCTCCCTCCCTCTCCACCCCCCACCCATCCATGCACTCATCCCTCCTTCATTCCCTCCCTTCCTTTCTCTACCCACCCACTCATCCATTCATCCATCTATTCATCTATCCATCCATCCACTCATGAATCCATCAATCCACCCATCCTTCTATCCATTGATCCCTTCTTCTTTCTCTCCCTCCCTCTCTCCATGCACCCATCCATCCCTTCCTCTTTCTCCCTTCCTCCCTCCATCCATCCCCCCTCTTCATTCCTCCATCTCTTCCTCCCTCCCTCCATCTATCCCTCCCTTTCTTCATTGCTTCCTTCCTCCCTCCATCTCTTTCTCTCTCCACCTGTCCCTCCCTGCCTCTATCCTTCCACCCCATCCATCCTATATTTGTTGAAAATTTTCAGCAGGTACCTCTCCTGCTGCGACCTCATTTACAGATAAGGAATCTGGGATCAGGCAGTGTTATGGTCTGTGAAATGAGGGCAGTCAAGTGCTGAGCAAGTGTCTGGCACAGAGTAGCTCCCTTGTGAGAGCTGGATATTTGAGTGGACCGATGTAGATGCATGGGTTATGGGGGTGGGGTGGGTGGATGGGAGATGGATAAGTGGGTGGGTGGGTAGAGGATGATGGATGGATGGATGAATGGATGGCTGATGAATAGGGGGTAGATGGGTGGGTGGGTAGAGGATGATGGATGGATGGGTGATGAATAGGGGGTAGATGGGTGGGTGGGTAGAGGATGATGGATAAATGTTTTCTTAGTCTCTTAGTGCTGCTATAACACAAATACCACAAGTGGGTGGCTTTAAAGAACAGACTTTTATCTTCTCACAGTTCTGGAAGCTAAAAGTTCAAATGATTCCTTCCCTGTTGGTAGCCCTGGGTGTTCCTTGGTTCCTTAGCTTGTAGACAATCCTCATGTGGCGTCTGTCATCCTCTCTGTGTGTGTCTCAGTGTTTAATCTGCTCTTTTTAGAACTCAGAAGTATTAGATTTAGAACCCAGCCTACTCAGATATGATCTAGTAACATAACAAAGGAAACCCTATTTCTAAACAGGATCACATCCACAGGTACAGGACATAGGATTCCAACACATATTTTGAGGAGAGGGACACAATTTAATCCATAAAAGATGGTAATTGTTTAAATGAATGGACGGATGGATTCACGGGGTATGTTTAAATGGATGGATGGATGGTGGGTAATGGTTGAATATTTGGTGAGGATGGAAGAATGGATAGCTAGTATACGGATGTGGCTGCCTAAATGAGTGAATAGACGGCTGGATGGATGGATGAATATGCGGATGAATTATCAGAAATACATCTTTGGGTAGCTGGATGGATGGGTAGGTGGGCGGACAGATGAATGGATAGACGGATGGGTGGGTAGATGGGTGGTTAGACAGACAGAGGTTGGATGGATGATACATGGATGGATACCAGATGGGTGGGTGTAGATGGATGAATGGTGAATGGGTGGGATGATGTATCAGTGGTGTCTGGATGGTGGATGGTTAAATAATTGGGTAGACGGATGGGTGGATGGATGGATGGATGGATGGATGGATGGGTGGTTGGGTGGATGGACGGATGGTGGATAAGCGGATGGATGTAAAATGGGTGTGTGGGTGGCAGTTGGATCCTAACATGGATCCCAGGTCCCTGAAAGCTGACTCTTCTCATTCAGGCCACTCCCCCACCCTCCCCTCACTGTCCTCCCCAACCAGCTCCATCTCCTGAGGACTTTTCTTCCTTCTCCATGCCCCTCTGCCAGGTCCGACTGGTTTCTGTATGACTGTCGCCTCCTCAGGCACGTGGCCCTCGGCCTCTTCTGCTGCGGAGTCTCTGTCTACTTAGCAGGTGTGTGCTGAGGGGTGGGGAGGATTTGGGGTGCAGGGCCTTGGGTTGGGGTGGCCAGAGGTAATGACAGGGGTCCACTCTGGAGCCAGCCTGCCTGGGTTCATATCGTGGCTCTGACATTTTCTTGAGCTAGGACCTTGGGCAAATTCCCTCTGTGCCTCAGTTTGCCTGTCAGTACAATGGGGATGATAACCGTCATGCCTCACAAAATTGTTGAGGGAATTCTGAGTTAATCCATAAAACTTTGTGGGTGTCACCGGGCCCTGGCTGGGTTTCCAAAAACATCAGCTGTTGTTGGAACATTTTACTTTCTTTAATTTTATACATGTAGTTGAACAAGTTTCCAAGTCCTGGGTGGTTCTTAGACAGTATTTCACAGGTGTTAGCGAAAGCTGTTTGGGTTACAAGTAGCAGATATTCCAGCCCAAAATGGTTTAAGAGAAAAAAAATTACTCTTTATGAAATGAATTTTATTAGGTTTTTACTTTTTTTGTTGCAGTTAAAATATTAGAACAAAACATATGGCATCTCAACCATTTCTATATGTACAATTCAGTGACATTGATTACCTTCTTCAAGTTGTATAACCATCTTCCCTATTCTTTTCCAAATCATTCCACCATCTTTAACATAAACTCAATGCCCCCTAAGCAAAAACTCCTTTCTCCCTCCCTCCCACCCCTGGTAACCAGTAATAATCTTCGGTTTCGATTTACATATTTCTAAGTGGGATCATACAGTATTTGTCCTTCTGTGACTAACCTATTTCACTCAGCATGATGTTCTCAAGGTTCATCCATGTAGAGGCTTTCATAGGGGCTTCATTTCTCTTTATGGTTGAGTAGTATTCCACTGTACGGACAGACCACGTTTTGCTTATCCATTCATCTGTGGATGGACTAGAAATGAAATTTTAAATCCCAAAATATGAAGCAGTGTAAAAAAAAAATCTCAGGTGCTAGAAAGGACACATTCATACTATCTTTCCTTTCCCAACTTGAAATAACTTTTTTATACCAGCTTTCTCTTACTCAGATGTGCTAGTAAAAGAATCAAATCATCATGATTCTTTAAAAAGACTGAACAGCTTATATTTTATTTTAATCTTGAAAAAATGTGTTGATGATGTTGCAGACTCAGTTCTGAATCATATATGGGTCTCTGCCAGCCCTAAAACAACCTGTTTTCCCAGAAGAAAAAAATACTCAGTTGAATGATAAACCAAAGGTGTGCTATTACTGTATTTTTTTTTTTATTCCCACGAAAGATAACTAAAGGTGAAAAGATATATTTAAAATATGTGTTTAGGTGACGAGAGCCTGGGGTTCATTATGGGAAATTTGTATAAAGGGCAGGGAACTCTGCATAATGCAACTTTTGTTGTTTGACTTAATAAAATGCTCACAATGTGGATTTTTTTAAAAAAGGAGAGTGAGGGTGGGGCTCATGGCTCTGAAAAGATTAGGAGTGGTTGGCTTCAGGTGTGGCTGGAGCCAGGTGTTCAAATGAAGGTAATTAGAAATGCCTCTCACTTCACTTCTCCACCTGAGAAAGACGCCTGTATCCATAAATGTTTTTGGCACAATGCCTAGAAACTCAAACCTTTTCATGGGCCAACAAAAATGTTGGCTATCTAAGAATAAAATATCCTAGTTCTAAAGAACAAGAAAAATCACAAAGGGCAAAAAAAGGTAACATTATGTCAGTCTCATTAAGCATTAAATTTGGAATTCATTCACCTCCCACTTAGATTCTTTGTGAGATTAAGTAACCTCACTCGGCAAGAATTCTCCAGCCAAACATTCATTCACCAACAGCCAGGGCCAAAAGAATGACTATAGACGTCCTTTCAACTAGAGCAAAAATAAGGCCTTGACCTGGTTTTGATATGCCTGACATGATGCAGTGTGGCATCTGCAAAAGTGAGAGTGTGCAGAGCCAGAGAAAGTATCAAAACAGCCCACATGGGGCCACAAGTTCCCCATCAGCTCTGGGCTTCTATTAGCAGTGGCTGCAGAAAGAGAATTCCTCTAGCCTGTGTAGTTCAAGCAAAAGTCTCAGGGATGTCTCTGATTGGTTGAGTTTGAGTCATGTGATATCCCTGCACCAATCATAACGAGTGGGGGAAAGCAATGCTGCGATTGGCCAAGCAAGGTCCTATGCACATCACTGATGCCAAAGAAGTGGGTCAGTACTTTCTAGACCCAGTGACCGGCGTAGGGGTGGGGACTGGACCAGGAGGACCTCAACAGGGGCCAATTCTGCCCCCTCCCAGGGGACATTCAGCACTGTATGGAGACTTTTTTGGTTGTCACAAATGGGCAGGGGGATGCTGCTGGCACTGAGTGAGTGGAATCCAGGGATGCTGCTAAACATCCTACCATACACAGGACAGGTGCCCACAACAAAGAATAGTGCCAACTGGACACCAGACAGGGTGACAGAGGGATAGGTCAGGTCCTCGAGGTCACCTTGCTGACCATCTTATTGTTAGATCAACAAACTGAGGCCAGAGAGGAGCTGTGATCTACCCAAAGTCACCCACGCCTGGGGCAGAGTGAACTGTGTGCCCTGTCAGGAGAGGGTCCAGACTACACTTTTTAAATCACATAGTTTTGTAATAAGCCTTGATACCAAGGGCAGCAAGTCTTTCATCTTTTCTTCTGTAATACTATGGTCTTATAAATATACTATGCTCTTACAAATAAATTTTAGAACCAACTTCTCAGCTTCAATGAAAAAATTCTCTTAAGATTTTGATTGCAAATTCATTGAATTTATTTGGAAAGAATTAACATCTTTACAATATCGAGTTATCGTATTTACGGACTACCTCACCATTTATCTAGTTTCCTTTTGTGCTTTTTTTTTTTTCCTTTCTTGTTGTTGTTTTTATTGTGTATCTTAGTTACCTAGTGCTGCTGTAACAGAAATACCACAAGTGGATGACTTTAACAAAGAGAAGTTTATTCTCTCGCAGTCCAGTAGGCTACAAGTCCGAATTCAGGGCGCCAGCTCCAGGAGAAAGCATTCTCTGTCGGCTCTGGAGGAAGGTCCTTGTGATGCATCAGTCTTCCCTTGGTCTGGGAGCATCTCAGTGCAGGAATCTCAGGTCCAAAGGACATGGACACGCTTTGCTCCCGGCACTGCTTTCTTGGTGGTATGAAGTCCCCATGTCTCTCTGCTTGCTTCTCTCTTTTATATCTTGGAAGAGATTGACTTAAGACACTATCTAATCTTGTAGATCTCACCAATATAACTGCCACTAATACATCTCATTACATCGTAGTGATAGGATTTCCAACACACAGGGAAATCACATCAGATGACAAAATGGTAGACAATCATACAATACTGGGAATCATGACCTAGACAAGTTGACCAGATATTTTTGAGGGACACAATTCAATCCATGACATTGTGCTTTAGGTGAAAGTTTACAGCTCAAGTTAATTTCTCATACAAAAATTTATACACATATTGTTATGTGACACTAGTTGCAATCCCTATAATGTGACAGCACACTCCCCCTTTTCACTCTGGGCTTCTTGTGGCCATTCAACCAGCTCCTATCCCTTCCTGCGTTCTCATCCCACGTCCGGACAGGAGCTGCCCAATTGGTCTCGTGTACCTGCTTGAACTAAGAAGCACACTCTTCATGATTATTATTTTATGTTTTATAGTCCAGTCTAATCTTTGCCTGAAGAGAGAGTTTTGGGAATGGTTTTAGTTCTGGGTTAACAGAGCATCCAGGGGCCATGGCTTCTGGGGTTCCTCCAATCTCAGTCAGACAATTAAGTCTGGTCTTTTTACATGAATTTGAGTTCTGCTCCACACTTTTCTCCCGCTCTGTCAGGGACTCTCTGTTGTATTCCATCAGAGCGGTCATTGGTGGTAGCCAGACACCGTCTGGTTCTTCTGGTCTCAGGCTGACAGAGTCCCTGGTTTATGTGGCCCTTTTGTCTCTTGGGCTAATATTTTTCTTGTGTCTCTGGTGTTCGTTACTCTCCTTTGCTCCAAGTGGGTTAGGACCAATTGATGCATCTCCATTTTAACCATTTTAAAGTGCACAACTGAGTGGCATTTAGTCCATTCACAATGTTGTGCAGCCACCACCTCTATCTAGTTCCAGAACACTCTCATCACCCCAAAAGGAAGGCCCACACCCATTAGTAGTCAGTCTCCACTCTCCTCTCCCCCAGCCCCTGACAATCACTGATCTGCTTTCTTTCTCTATAGATTTGCCTGTTCTGGACACTTCATATCAATGGAATCATATACTATGTGGCCTTTTGTGTCTGGCTTCTTTCACGCAATATAATGTTTTCGAGGTTCATCCACGTTGTAGTGTGTATCAGTGCTTTATTCCTTTTAATGACTGAGTAATATCCCATTGTGTGGACGGAGCACATTGTGTTTATCCATTCATCTGTTGATGGACACTTGGGTTGTTTCCACCTTTTGGCTATCGTGAATAACGCTGCAATGAACATTGGTGTACAAGTATCTGTTTGAGTCCCTGCTTTCAGTTCTCTTGTGTAGATACGTAGGCATGGAATTGCTGGATCATATGGTAATTCTATGCTTAACTTTTTGAGGAACCGCAAACTGTTTTCTAAAGCAGCTACACCCTTTTACATTCCCACCAGCAATAGACGAGTATTCCAATTTTTCCACATTCTTGCCAACACTTGTTATTGTCCAGTTGTTTGATTTTAGCCATTCTAGATCTCTGGGTGGCACAAACAATTTGCACTTGACTACTAACCTAAAGGTTGGCATTCAAACCCACCCAGCAGTACTGCGGAAGAAAGGGCTGGTGATCTGCTTCTGAAAAGATTACGGCCTAGAAAATCCTATGGAGCAGTTCTACTGTGTAACACACGGGTCACCTTGAGTCAAAATCAACTGGATGGCAACAGATTTTTGGTTTGAGTGGGTAGGAAGTGGTATTTCATTTTGGTTTTGATTTGCATTTCCTGAATAACTAAGGACGTTGAGCATCTTTTCATAAGACCTGGGTTTTTAAGGCAGCCCTGAGCTCATGGCTAGTGACCTTGGGCCAGGGACTTCCCCTCCCAGCCTCAGTTTCTATGTCTGTGAAGTGGGATCACCTCTGTGGTCTCCTAGCTGTGCAGCTTTGGAGGCGTCCCCTAACCTCTCCGAGCCTCAGTTTCCTTATTTGTAAAATGGAGATGATGAATAAGGGATAAGAGGACCAAATGAGTTCATATACGTGCCTGGGTTTTCTGTGCTGATTCCCTATTTGGGGGAGCCCCCTGAGGGCTTGAGAGCTGATGTTTGTTGAATGAATAAATGAGAGTCATTTCCCTCCCCAGCACTGTCCATCTATGCTCTGCTGCTCTTTGAGATTGAGACGGGCGCGGCGGCTGCCTCCATCCTCGGCTCAGGCGCCCTGACCCTGGTGGCCATGCTGACTCACACTCTCCTCCGTGCCGCCCGGGCTACTCGCCGTGGCCTCCACGAGCTGTCCCCGCCAACCTTTGAGGACGACCCCACCCGCCCCACCGAGGTCTCCAAGGCCAGCCCCAGGGCTCAGCCCCAGCAGGGTACCCACCACCATTTCCCCTACTTGTCCTGCCCAGAGGCTGGGATCCCCCTTGGGCCCATGGCCACCACCACAGCACCTGTGGCCCTTGGGGGAGGTCGGGAGGGGAGCCTGCCTGCATCCCGCATGCACCGGACACTGCCGGCCGGCACAGGGCCCTGGGACGGAGTCACCCACGAGATGCGCAGCATGCTGGGCCACAGGCCAGGGGCCATAGGGAAAGACTCCACGCTGGTGTGAGCCCAGAGGTCAGGGATAGGGGCCTGGTGTCAGGGAGCAGGAAGGGGACTCTGTAGGGATAGGTCCAGGCTTAGCCACAGTAACAGTAGAACTTGATTCCCTCTCAGTTCTCAGCATCTCAGGATCTCAGGCTTTTGTCCTCAAGGAGAGGAGCCCTGGTGGCACAGTGGTTAAACATTTGGCTGCTAACTGAAAGGTTGGCGGCTTGAACCCACCAGCTGCTTCGTGGGAGAAGATGCGGCAGTCTGCTTCCGTAAAGATTTACAGCCTTGGAAACTCTATGAGACAGTTTTACTCTGTCCTATAGGGTTGCTATGAGTTGGAATCAACTCAACGGCAATTTTTTTTTGGTGGATCCTCAAGGATGCCTCATGGTACAAAATAGCTGCCAGGGATCCAGCCTTCACCTCCTCACTTGGAGGGAAGAGCAGAGGCCAAGGCTGGGTCAGTGCCTTCAGAAAGCCTTCCTGAGAGGCCTTGGGACCTTCCTGCTCATATCTAATTGGCCAGCACCAAGTCCCATGGTCACACTTCCCTGCAGAGGGAGGGCTGGGAAACAGAATGCATGAGGTTTTGTTATAGGCAGGAGGGAAGGCCGGGGCTCAGGTGGCAGTTCTCTGAATGCCTCCGTCTATTTTACAGATGAGGAAACCGAGGTTCCGAGAGAGGCAATGACTCATCAGGGGGCCCACGGCCAGTACTGAGCATCAGAGCCAGGATTCGCACCTGGGTCCTGTAGCCCCCATGCTGCAGACCGCGCAAGTTTCAGACTCTGCAATTCCCTGCTGCACCCCCTGGGCCGGGAGCGTCTGAAACCCATGTGCCGAGTTCAGGGCAGCCCAGGGCCAGAGACTCGCCTGCAGGTGAGGGGTTCCCCTCTCTGTGCCTCGGTTTCCTCATCTGTATAATAGGACAGGAAGTGGCTCCCCCTCGGTACTCCCATAAGGGAGACTTGCTTGGCTGACTCAATGTGAGTCCCTCTAGTGCTCCGGATTGAGTAGGTCCTCAATCCTGTCACCTGACCCTGTGCCACTATCTGGGGCAAGTGGGGGGTTGCTGGTGGCTGGGCTCCCACTGCCTTCAGGAAAAGGGGGGATGACGGGCAGTTTCTGGGTCTCATGGAGCTGACGGGACTAAGCATAGATAAGGATGGAGTCCCAGGGGTCTCCAGAGCCCCCCACTCACCCTTGTGCCACACAACCCACAAATAAACTCAGACCGTCTACTGTCTCTGTGTCATTTGAGGGGTGGGGTGCAAGAGTTGGGTGGGGCAGGGTGTGCCCCTTGCAGACTCCAGTCTGGAACCCGAATCCCACCAATGCTCATATGTAGGAACTCCCCCTAGGGGTAGGGATGGCCCAGCCCCCATTCCATTGCCTTCAAGTTGATTCCAACTCATAGCAACCCTATCTATAGGACAGTGTAGAACTGCCGATAGGGTTTCCAAGGCTATAAATCTTTACGGAAGCAGACTGCCACGTCTTTCTCCCAGGGAGAGGCTGGTGAGTTCAAACCACCAGCCTCCTGGTTGGCAGCCAAGCGCTTAACCACTGCGCCACCGAGGCTCCTTGCCTGGTCCCCCATTCCCACCCAAGTGGACAAATGTCCCCAGAAGTCTCCCAGCTTATCCCTTCTGAGCCATGGGGGCTCCAGAGCCCAGGAAAGGGAGAAGGCCCCACTGAGGCCCCACTCAGTGGGCAGAGAGGCTCAGGGAGGTGATAGCACCCAGCAGGGGGGTGCTCCCTGAGCAGACCGGAGCTGATGAGACACACAAAAAACTGATTCCCCACCAGCCTTGGCGCCTCCTCCCTGAGTCCCAGGAAGCTGCGCAGACCTCCCAGAGCCTCCGTTTCCTCCCTCATGGGGTGAGATCAAGAGATAATAAACGTCTGATCTCTAAAATCTACAAGATACTGCAAAACCTCAACAACAAAAAGACAAATAACCCAATTAAAAAATGGGTAAAGGATATGAACGGCCACTTCGCCAAAGAAGACATTCAGGCAGCTAACAGACAGACACATGAGGAAATGCTCACGATCATTAGCCATTAGAGAAATGCAGATCAAAACTACAGTGAGATACCATCTCACCCCAACAAGGCTAGCATTAATCCAAAAAACACAAAATAATAAATGTTGGGGAGGTTGTGGAGAGACTGGAACACTTATACACTGTTAGTGGGAATGTAAAATGGTACAACCACTTTGGAAATCTATTTGGTGCTTCCTTAAAAAGCTAGGAATAGAAGTACTATACAATCCAGCAATCTCGCTCCTTGGAATATATCCTAGAGAAATAAGAGCCGTCACACGAATAGATATATGCACACCCATGTTCATTGCAGCACTGTTCACGATGGCAAAAAGATGGAAACAACCTAGGTGCCCATCGATGGATGAATAGATAAACAAATTATGGTATATCCACACAATGGAATACTATGCAACAATAAAGAACAACGATGAATCCGTGAAACACCTTATAACATGGAGGAATCTGGAAGGCATTATGCTGAGCGAAATTAGTCAGTCGCAAAAGGATAAATATTGTATAAGACCACTATCATAAGAACTCAAGAAAAGGTTTAAACACAGAAGAAAACATTCTTTGATGGTTACGAGGGTGGGGAGGGAGGGAAAGAGTTATTCACTAACTGGATAGTAGACAAGAATTGTCTTAGGTGAAGGGAAGGACAGCACACGCCACAGGGAAAGTCAGCACAACTGAACTAAACCAAAGCTAAGAAGTATCCTGAATACAACCAAACACTTCGAGGGACAGAGTAGCAGGCGCGG